TACTGCCATGACCCCAGTTCAAATCTGGCTAGACCAGAGCAGGTATACTGGTATAGATAAGAGTTCTCACCACAGGAATGCAGGACAGATAAACCCCTCAGGAACAATAATGGAAGTAGCATTTCCATGAGGCTAGGGGAAAGGTGGGGGGTGAAAGGGGAAACTAATTGCAACAATTGACATATTACCCCCGCCCCACCACCCTTCACCCAGATTGACAAACAACAGAAGCATGGGTGAAGGGAGGCAGCAGACAATGCAAGATAAGAAAATAATAATTGATAATTTATCAAGGGTTCATGAGGTTGGGAGGGAAGGGGAGAGAGGAAAAAATGAGGAGCTGATATCAAGGGTTCAAGTAGAAAGCAAATATTTTGAAAAGGATGATGGCAACATATGCACAAATGTGCTTGACACAATGGATGTATGGATTGTGATAAGAGCTGTAAGAGCCCCCAATAAAATGATCAAAAAAGAAGCCTCTTCTTTGATTAGACAATATTTTTAAGGCATCTTAGGAAGACGAACACAAGTGCATTTCTGAGATAACTTGTCTGAGGCATCCACGGATCTCAGAGGTCTGTGTAAGCACATTTTGGGGTGGGGGTGGGATAAACCTGTGCACATAAGAACTGGAACCTTAGTAACAATACTTTTTGACTGCCCTCATCTGTGACTTGGCATAATTCAAGAGTGGGTCTTGACACCATGGTTGGGTACTTCAGTCAGGAAGTATTGTGAGGCGGTGCCGACCCCAGCAGTGTTTCCTTCTGTGGTATAGCGGGCATGAGTTAGGAGCAGGGACTGTAACTAATCACATTTCCTCCAAAATAATGTTTTTAAAAATGATTTAAGCCTACAAATGGACTTTGGGTCTCCACTCTGAACTCCCCCCTCATTCACTATGGTAAGATTTTTTTTGTTCTGATGATGCCTTATACCTGATCCCTTCGACACCTTGTGATCGCACAGGCTGGTGTGCTTCTTCCATGTGGGCTTTGTTGCTTCTGAGCTAGATGGCCGCTTGTTTACCCATTAGTAGGCCACTGGAGATCCCCTTGCAGAGGGGTCTTGGGGAGGAGATGAGCCAGTCAGGGTGCAATGTAGCAATGATGAAAAATACAACTTTTCTCTAGTTCCTAAATGCTCCGCCCCCCCCCACCTACCCCCACCCCCGACTATCATGATCCAAATTCTATCTTGCAAGTCTGGCTAGACCAGAGGATGTACACTGGTACAGATAGGAACTGGAAACACAGGGAATCCAGGGCGGATGATCCCTTCAGGACCAGTGGTGTGAGTGGCGATACTGGGAGCATAGAGGGGAGAGTGGGTTGGAAAGGGGGATCCAATTACAAGGATCTACATGTGACCTCCTCCCCAGGGGATGGACAACAGAAAAGTGGGTGAAGGGAGACGTCAGATAGGGCAAGATATGACAAAATAATAATTTATAAATTATTGAGGGCTCATGAGGGTGGGGGAATCAGGGAGGGAGGGGAAAAAATGAGTACCTGATGCCAGGGGCTTAAGTGGAGAGCAAATGTTTTGAGAATGATGAGGGCGATGAATGTACAAATGTGCTTTACACAATTGATGTATGTATGGATTGTGATAAGAGTTTTATGAGTCCCTAATAAAATGATTTTTAAAAATGATTTAAGCCTCCTAATGGCTTTTGTTTGGCAAGTAACACTAATTTTTGCAAGTGAAGAAATAGACTAGTTAAGTAAAACCCTTCAAACTCGAGGAGGAAGAGGAGGGTAATTTGAGATGAAAAGCAAAGAAGGAAAGACACAGTAATTTAGTTTGTAAAATTGATTTATTTACGATTTAGCATGTTTAAATTGTATCTGAAATGTCTAGGTATTTCCCTGGCAAGTGTATTCCATATATATATATTTAATATGGAGGCAAAGGATAGGAAACCCGAGTAAATCTGAATGAATGAGATTTATCACCTTGAACAATTGAACAAAATTGAACAATTGAACAAAACTTTTAATCCCTGAGAAGTAGTCAGAGGGGTTAAAAAGATCATTTCATGCATCCAATCAATCGTAACTTTTAATCCCTGAGAAGTAGTCAGAGGGTTAAAAAGAGTATCTCGTGCATGATTTTAAGAAGAATTAAAGAATAAACCTCCCACAGAGGGCAATATGAGGAGTCCTGTTTCACAAATTCACCGTGACATGCACCAGTGTGTGCCTGTGCTTTAAAGTGGGTACAAACTCTGCCAGGGAGTCATTGCTGACACATAGCGACCCCCTGGTGGGTTTCCTAGACTGTAACTGTTAATGAGATTAGAACACCAAGTAGCCCAACGCGTAACCACTACACCATGGCTCCTTAATGTCCCTGGGTACACCTAAACCGAGTCAAATCCTCAATTTCTGCTGTTTGCTTCTTCCAAGTATCTTGTTTTTTGAGAACATTCTGGAAATGGATACATAATGCATTCAAATGATCGAAATCCTTCTCCGTTCTTTGGATGAGTGTGAGGTATGCTTGCAGACTTTCCAGCACTGTCTGAAAACCTGAATTCTCTAATTGCAACCTGAGCCCCAAAGTCCCGTGCAATAAGCCACTTCAGTATCCTCATACATCAAACGAGGGGATGAATAAGCCGGTTGATGTCCACCAGACAGTAAGATCTGGGAGGAGCTTGCTGTCTCGGTTGGCATCAGCTCCAAAGCATAGGCTGCATTTATAACATGCGCTGTGGGTGCTCCCACCACCCAAGTCCACTCTCACCCAGCGCATTTCAACTCAGAGAGGCCCGAGCGGGCAGAACCGAAGCACACCGGAGAGTTTCCAAAGCTGCAGAGCTCAACAGAGCAGACAGCCTCAGCTATCTCCGCAGGAGCTGCTGTTGGGTTTGAACTGCTGAGTTTGCGGTGCACGGCCCAATGCTAGCTCACCGATCCCATCACGGTTCCATTTGTTCGCCTAGTACAGGGAACAGTTAATACTCTCAAAAACCACTAGCTTTCTTTAGAGAAGCAAATATTGAGCCTTTAATTTGCACACTAAACAACCCTGAAATGAATGCAAGTGAATGACAATTATACCTCCTTTCTCCCTGTATGCCCAACTAGGTTTGCCTTGTCTGAATTGCTGCAGTTCATGAAGAAAGACCATTGAAAAGCAAAGGTAACCAAATAAAACACAAACAATCCCAAGACTACATTAACATGCACCTTTCTGGCATGTCTACGTTCTGCTGTGTGCCTGTTCCTCGGTCTATCATCTAATCCATCTACATAGCGTGCAGATAATGAAGGGAGACGACTGCAAAGGGAAGGCAAATAAACCACGCACGCCAGTTAAATGCCACAGTCCGATATTGGCAACACAGAAGCAGTCACTTTGCAAATTGCACAGGTTAACTGTCACGAAAGACAGCTGCTCATTGCTGAATGGCCCAAAGGAAAATGCCCTGCCATCACTCTGCTAGAGCAAGGAACAAAACCACACATGCTTTTCATACCTGTCTTTTGGGGGCTTTTTTCCCCAAACAGAAAACACTCAAAACCAAATTCTCCCTCTAACAAACCCCCCACTCAAAACTAAAT